TGGAACCAAACCAATACCAAATTTGAATGATGCAGCATATAATATAATCATAACTAAAGGTAACCAGCTAGCTTTCAAAACATCGACTCCATTATTTTTCAACGTGAAGTAAACCGCCATAACCATCAATGAAAGTCCAGCTACAACTCCTGAACAACATAATAATACCTTCCTCCCAAAATTATCAATAGCCAGAGAAGCAGACATGGCGGAAACAATCATAGTTGCTGAGAAAATTATGGCTCCTGTAGAAGCTGCTACGTAGAAAGATCCAGCTTCTTCCAAAATAGAATGTAAATTCATCAACATAACGCTGATACTACTCAAATGTTGTGAACTGTTGAGTATCACCATTATCACCAGTGCTTTACGATTACTTGATATCAGAAACAGATCCATGAACCTCCCTTTCTCTCCTTTTTGTCTTTCTATTGCCACAGATATATTTATGAATTCTTCTTGCACATTGTCCGTGGACCGTAATTTCCGAAGTGCGGCTTTAGCTTTTTCAGGTTCATTTTTGTATAGGAGATAATACGGTGAATCTGGCTGGAAAGGAAATACAATTAGTGATATACAATTGATAACGATTCCTAATAGACAGGGGCCCCAAAGCGGAACGAACGGCGCCACACAGTACATTGTTAATACACCAGTCAACATCATGATATAGATTAGACTGGACAAAAATCCTCTGATTTTCTGATCTGCTATTTCTGCTATATACATAGGCGCTGCTACAAATGCCATATCACCAGCCATTCCTGCAAAAAATCTTGCCACAAATATGTACTCCACTCTCGGTGCTACAGCGATCACAATCCATGCTAACATAGTTGTTGTCGCGGAAGTTATCAGTGATTTTTTTCTTCCAATACTGTCTACAAGGAACATAGTAATCGGAAGTCCAAAGCAAGCTCCAATCATAAGGATGGACTCCAACCATTCAGCTTGGTTCGTGGTAACTTCTATGGGAGCATTTTCACTGAGGAGAATTGGTAAAGTTGGCGCACTCCAACTGTATTGCATTCCATCAGATATAGCGGATAAAGTTCCTGGAAACAAAAACAGATAGTGAAAATCTGTGAAGAGTGTGGAGTTAGTAGAGTAACTCCAGTCCATGAATCTGGAAGTCACAATGATATGTACAATTAACGACCAATTTCTGTCATCAACAATTCTTAACTATTCGAACAATATGTCTGACAATCGATTGAAAATTTTTTCAGTGGATATCATTATCGGAAAACTGCATCTTGTTCTGATGAAAAAAAATCTGGAGGGGTTCTCCTAATAGGTGCTCGAAAACAAATTAAAGTTGTGCTTCGAGAGCAATTCCAAAGTGAAGCAGAAGATTTATGGATGACTATCTACAGTCTACAGTATCTACAACGACGACAACAGTTCGAAGGTACATATTTGCTGTGTTCATTTACCACCCACAAATGACTACTCAAGAACGTGTTTCACTTCAAAACTACAACAAAATCTTGATGAACTTACAGGTGATCCGATACTTATATTTGGAGGCTTTAACTTCACATATATTAAATGATTGACCTCTTATCTATTTATGGAGAATTCTGATTGTGTTACTAACGGGAATTTTCTATTGATTGGTGACTTCAATATCCCTAAATCTAATATATAAAAATGGATGTTTGTTGGTTGTTTGGTTGGTTGGTTGGTAAGTGATA